TCCCGTCCGCGACCACGGCAAGACCAGCTGATCGAAAGGCCGCAAACAACTTCCCCGAGAGACCAGGCAAATCAAAACGCACATTTCACTCTGAAAGCTCAATCGCGTCGGTCATGGCCCGGTAGAACGCGTGGACATCCCGTTTGATTTCTGCCAGGCACAGGCAATGGAAACTGGGGCGATGAGCTGCAACGTATGTATGTCTAATACATACATATACAGATATAGATATACATTATATATATGCATATATACATACATATATATATATATATATACATATATATATATACACATCAGCGTGCGCGGGTGCGAACAATTAACTGCATGTGCTTACATCGGTGGGAAAGAAATATCGAAAGTTGCTGTTGTCTGCGCGTGAAGCTGCATCAAAATCGCGACGCCACCTCGACGCGCAATCCCCATCCCCTAACGTGTCAATGATGGTTTCGAGCTGGAACCTCAAAACTGGGAGGACAAAATAACGCAAGTCAAGATTGAAAAGTGGAATGGTGGAAGATTGTCAGAGCTTAGAAGCGCCTAATGCAATTTCCAGTTTAGTTTTCTTTACTGTTCAAACAACTTGCGTTATGTTGTCCCCCTACTGAGACCCAAGCAACTACCTCCCCAAGACGGCTACACGATGCCAACTGATCGGCAGCGGGATGGCCCAGCGCCCTCCCAGAGGCCACACTAGAATGCAAATGGGCCCAAGAGGCCCAACGCTGTCATCCGAGACCCCCGTCACTTTTACGGCACCGCCGGCCCCACCGAGAGGAAGGAACAGGGAGACGGAGAACGTGCAGGCGGGAGGCCACGGCTGGCGGGACGAAGCGGGTGGGTGGGCAGGCCAAGAGAAAGCCTCTGGAAGGCCGGCATCCAAGGAAGAGCCTTCAGTGCTCGTTGCTGTTCGCGTCCAGCGCATCTCCGCCCGAGATGGCCCGAAGAAGGCCCCTGGGCCCCAGCAGGCCCCGCGGGCGGCCCCCAAGCCGGCCCCAAGACTGCCCAGAGGGCCCCGACAATCCTCCGTAATACTTGGAAGAAGCCTCCAAGAGGCCCCGCACAGGGCCCCCAAGAACCCCAGAAGACTACAAAAGTGTCCCATCAAAACGACTGATGTGGGTGCACCTTCTGGATCCTCGAGATGTGGAACTCTGAGAACCACGCGCCCGTGCCACAACCTCTGGACCCGGGAGGCCTCGACACGAACTAGACGTGGACGGCCCGGGGGCGTGCCCGGGGCAGTGCCTGAAGGTGTGCCTGGTGACGTGCCCGTGCCTGGTGGCGCGTCCAGAGGCGTGTCTCGGGCCGTGCCCGGGGGCGGTTCTGAGGACGGGCGCGTCACTGTCCGGACCTTCGGCGCGCCGTCTTTGAGCGAGCGCTCGCGTAATGCGCTTTGAACTGTCCAGGGGCGCACAGGCATCTGGACCTGGTACGCACCGTCCTGGAGCGGGCAGGCACGGCATCGGGGGATTGGGGATCACCAGATCGGGGCCAGATCCGGCGACGGGACCTAACGAACTGGCGACCCCCGCAAGCAGGCAGACCTCTGCCTTCTACGACGGACATCAACAGACCTCTGAGGATTTCGAGATGAGGACCCGCAAACAAGCAGGCGCCTTGCGATTTTGAGATGAGGATCCGTGGCTTCTACCACAGACACGCAACTCGAAGGTGCGGATTTCCATAAAGATTACGCTGCCTGTGGAGGGGGGCAACTCTGGGGCGTGTCTTGAAGCGTAAATGGACCCCACATCATGGCACAAGCACAGGGGCGTGGCTGGGGTCGTGCCTGCGGCCCTTCAATTCCCCTTCATTCCGTCAAATTCTCCTTGTCGCCCAATTCGGTTCGTCCTGTTCGAATGCGATCGATTCGATTCATCCTGTCCGATTCGTCCGCTGTTCATTTCGTATCATTTCAATTCGTCCGCTGTTCTTTTGGCCCGGTTTCAATTCGTCCGCTTTTCACTCCGTCTGTTTTCACCTCGTCTGGTTTCAATTCGCCCGTTCGAAAAGCGTGGCAGTCCGCTTCGCGCGCGTTTCGAGCGGGTGTCGATTCATTCTGGCCTCACTCCGTCCAACTTGTAATTATTCATCTGGTTTCAATTCGTCTGGTTTAATTCGTCCTGTTTAGATCGACCGCTCAACACGCGCTGGTCCGCCCAGCGCGCGTTTCGAGCTGACGAAATGACAGGGCGAAATGAAGAAGTACGAAACGAAGGAGGACGAAACGAGGATGGACGAAACAAAAGCGAACGAAACGAACGAGGACGAAACGAAAGAGGACGAAACGAAAGAAGACGAAACGAAAGCGGACGAAAGGACAGAAGACGAAGAGGAAGAGGACGAGACGAAAGAGGACGAGACGAAAAGGGACGAAACGAAAAATAACGAAACGAAAAAGGACTGAACACGACGAGCACAACAAACCAACACGTAAAAATAACCACAAAACGCATAGGCCCGCGCATATTCATGGGATCGGCGCCGGAAGCGTGCCCCGCTCCTCTGGTGCCGCCCCTGGCGCGCTCCACGCGCAAGCGAGGGGAGTCCAGCGCCGATCCAAGCAATCAGCGCGGCCCCCATGAAGATTACGCTTACGACTGGAGGTTGGCGGCGCATTGACCAGCAGAGCACTTCCAGGGCGCTCCCAGGGCGCTCCACCTTGCCCCTCTGCGGATGAGGAGGAGGAGCAGCAGGAGGACCACCGCAAGGGCATCAAACATAAACATTAGCTTTCGGAGGCCCGCACGCATTTGTCGGATCGGCGCTGGAGGCGCGCCCCGCGCCTCCGGTGCCGAGCCTGTCACGCTCCGCGCGTCAGGGAGGGGGGCCCAGCGCCGATCCAAAAAACCAGCGTGGTTCTCCGAAAGTTGATATTTAAGCATGGCGGTTGACGGCCACCAACCAGGGCGCTCTCCAAGCGCACCCAGGGGACTCCCACGGCGCCCCCGCTTGCCCTCTCCTCCTTCTCCTCCTCCTCCTCCTCCTCCTCCTCCTCCTCCTCCTCCTCCTCCTCCTCCTCCCCATCCTATCCCCCCTCCTCATCCGAATCATCATCCTCGTCCTCATCATCATCCCTCATCTTCCTCGCCTGCTCCTCCTCCTCTTCCTCCTCCTCCTCCTCCTCCTCCTCCTCCTCCTCCTGTATTTGTTCTTTCTGAACCTCCCTCCTCCTTCTCCTCCTCCTCCTCCTCCTCCTCCTCCTCCTCCTCCTCATCATCATCATCATCATCATCATCATCATCATCATCATCATCATCATCATCATCATCATCCTCATCCTCATGCCGTCCGCCTCCTCATCCGTTTCCGAGACTCAGGTGCGGACCCTAGCCCTGGAGTGAGGCAGGACGACGAGGGCGGCGACGACGATGGCGGCGACGACGACGACGACAGAGACGACGAGGAGGACAGCGGCAGCTCCAACGGCGACGACAACGACGACGACGACGACGAGCTCCACCACGACGACGACGATGACCACGACGATGACGGCGACGGCGGCGCCGGCCACGACGACGACGACCACCACGACGCCGATGACGACCACCACCACTTCGATAGCGACGCGGACGTCGGCGGCGGCGACGACAACGACGGAGACGACCGCCGTGACGATCATCGCCACGACGACGACGAGGACGGCGGCGGCGACGACGACGGAGACGGCGACGACGACGACGACGACGACGACGACGACGACGACGACGACGACGACGACGACGACGACGACGACGACGGCGGCGACGACGGCGGCGGCGGCGGCGGCGGCGGCGGCGGCGGCGACGACGACGACGACGAACACCACCACGACGACGATGACCATAACAGCAATGGCGATGCCGGCGACGACGAGGACGACGACGACGGTGAGGACGACGGCGGAGGCGGCGACGACGAAGACGACGACGACGAGCACCACTAAGACGATGACCCCGACGACATCGATTACGATGACCACGACGACGGCGGCGGCGGCGACAACGACAACGAGCACCACCACGACAACCAACACCAACACGCAACAACGACAACGGCAACTAAAACCGGGATATCAATTCGCCTGGTGTAAGTTCGTCGCCCGGTGTCAGTTCGTCCAGGTGCTATCCGTCCAGTGTCCATTCGTCCAGTGACAGTTCGTCCGTTGTCCAGAGAACGAAGCGACGGAAGACGAAACGAACTGCAGACGGAGGACGAAACGAAAGAAGCTAACACGAAAGTCGACGAAATGAAAAAGGACGAACCGAATGATGACAGAAAGAAACAAGACGAAATGAAACGGACGAAATGGACGTCCACCATTGGGGACGTGCCCGGGGTCTGGGGAACGTGCATGGAAACGTTTTTGGGAGCGTTTCGGGTGACGGCCCGGGTGACGTGCCTGGGACTGTGTGACGGGACATGCCTGGAGACCTCTCTTGCACGCTCAGAATGTACCTGGGGCGTATCTGGTTCGACCTGGAGCGCGCACAATCCTCGAGCGGGCACGCACGACATGCACCTGGAACGGTTCTGAGGCGCAAGATTGCCTAAACCTAAGACGCACCATCCTGAAGTGGGCATGCTCGGAACCCACCTGGGACGGCTCCAGGAAACACAAAGCGGTCTGGACATGGGACCCGCGATGTTCGAACGGCCACGCACGGGATGCACACGCGCGGTCTGGACCTGGGACAAGCCATCCTCGACAGAGGACGCTGCAGATTGCGATTTTGAGGTCGAGCCAGATCGAACGACGGGGGCTGATAACAGCAGAGAGGGAGGAATGTGCAATTGCATTGAAATCTGGCTGCCATGCAAGCCCGACAGAGACCGCTAGAAGCTTTGACCACAACTGCCACAGTCACCATGCGACACCACGGTCACGCCCCAATCTGCTACCCAGAGTGCACCAGCATTGTCCACCGAACGCATCGGAAAGCTCGGTGGGCCCATTCCGAACAACTACTGGTCGATGCTGCACTGGCACGCTGGCGGGGTCTGCCGCAGGCGGCCGGATACACCCTCACGCCGCACTCATAATGTTCAATGACCAGCGTGCCTAACGTCCAAAACTCGCCAGCCCCCCCTGCGGGAGCCATCAGGCTGCGAGGCGCATGTTCCAGCAAATGAGCAGCTTCTGCCGAACCACCGCGACGAAGCGATTCGTAGCATGGCAGTTGCCCTCGGGAGCTTAGCAACACGGCAACTGAGATGTGCCATTCACCAGTTCCCACCGCACAGACTGTTCAGTACCCCCTGGGAGGTGAGGCCCGAATTTTCTGAGAACGAGCGAGGCCACCAACGACCCGAAAGGATACTTTCGCCACTCCCAAACCATGCTCACTGGCTTCATGTATGCCTCTGGGGCACACAGAGGTGCAACTGATCTGTACTGCCACGATCCCTCGTAAAGGCTATGGGTCCACGCCTTCCAGGCCACGATGCTGCAATGGGTCCGTTCCTTCGAGGCAACGGATCGCTGCAAAAAGCAATGGGCACGCGCTGTCAAGGCCGCCACGACTCCTCGTAAGTGGTTAGACCCGCCAGTAACCCAGCACTATACAGCTGCGAGTAACGCAGGATATGATCCTTTCCTCATATGTAGCGCGCCGCGGGAGAGGGGGACCCTGGGGCAATACTGAGGGTGGCTGCGAAACGTGTGCAGTGAGAGCCAAATTGGAAAGCGGCGGCACCATGCGGACCGTGCCACAGAGGCCCCTGGCGGTCCTCCATAGTAGCCCACGCAGCGTGTACAGGGTGTGCAGGAATGGGCGCGGCGAGGCTATATAGACCCTGCCACTGGGGCCTTCGGTGGAGCTGCCTACGAGGCAACGAAACATGTGAGGTGTGCCGAAAACAGGCGGGGGCGGTACGAACCCTCCCACTTGGGCCTTAGATGAGGGGTGCGCCCGCATGAACTTTGGGACGCTACGCTGTCGCGCCCACGGTTACCGTACGCTGAGCTCCCTAAGGGGCGCGTCGATATGAGATCGGGATCGGGAACCCCATGCGGTCGCCCACTCAGTTAACTGCTGAACTCCCCAAAGGGCACGAAACGTGTGAGAGACGGGCTCGGGGATGCCATGCGGTAGCGCCCACTGAGACTGCAAGAGGAGCTCCAGAAGGGCACGAAACGTGTAATCTGTGTGCCGAGATGAGCTCGGGAACGCCGTGCGGTCGCACCACCTGAGGCCGTAGGTGCGGCTCCCTGAGGGCCACGAAACGTGTGAGGAGTGTGCGGAGGAGGGGGGGGGAGCGGGAGAAAGCAGACGCGGGGAGCTGCTGATTGAAAACGAGGGCCCGACACCACAGGATGGTTGTGGAAAGCATGGGCCCGCGTTCCCGAGACCTCGACCACTGTTTGACATGTATCCTTATCCCACCAGCCCTTTGGGCGTGAGTGGTCTAGAGAGCCCGCTCTGTTCTCAACCCCCTTCTTCCCCTTCGGGGAGGGGTTTACCCCTCCCCCTACCCCCTCCCCCTGGGCCTGGAGAGGTCCTTCCGCGGGTCGGAGGGGTCTTTTTCGACTCCTGGGAGGGCTAAAATTCGACACCCCTCACGAGGATCGTGGCCCCGACGGGGGGGGGGGAGAAAAATGCTCGCCCCATCTGTGATCGATCGCCCGAAAGATGGCCCCAAGATACCTCCCAGACCCCTCCCAAAGAGCCCCAAGAGGGCCCTAAGAGCGCCCCAGGAGAGCCCGCA